TAGGATCGCTTTACGACGGCTCCGGGCGGCTCACCTGGCCGTTTCGTGTTCCTCGTCCCCCGAGAGGCGCGGGGCCTCGCTTTTGTGCGACGTTTAGGAGTCCTTCCGCTAAAATGCGAATCCTCTTCCCGGAATTAAAGGAGAACGGGGCCGTATTTCACGCGGGTGCCACCGTAAATCTGTTCGACGCGTTAATTGCCGGAGCTTCGGCTACCAGGGCCGGAAATAAAAGCGTCCGAGCCGTCGGAAATAAAAATACCTCGAGCCGCGTACACATGGAGATAAAAGTATTTATTTCTATAGTTAACACGTTCCGTGCCACGTGAACCACCTATGGTACACGCCAATTTTTGTAAGAAAATATTTTTAATGGACACATGGTCACGGATAGTGGTATACGTTACAAACCAGTGAACATATAAAGAAACAATGTCAAATTACAAAAAGATCATCAAATACCTGAATACAACTTATTATTTTACTGAAATAATCAATACAGTTCATAAGCAAAGATAACCGAAATTTCCATGGCACGGAACGTGTTGACACGTTCAACCCGGCGCATTTTTTCGAAATTTGTATGTTCGGCATACATAAAATGATAAGTTGTTTATTCATCTGGCAGTACTTGTTTACTTCAGTACTTTTTACGTTATCAGTAATAATCATCAGTCTGAGTAATTGTGTAAGTTCTTAAAAATACTGTAGTGAAGGTAAAAATATTTAAGAATATAAGCATTACTTAGACAGGACTTGCATCTTGTTGTTTCTATAAAGAAATTGAACGAAGTCAGCTCTAGCGTTCGGCAATTCGAACTTCAAAGATAATAATTCTCTGTCTCCGCTATTGGAAACGGCTGGAAATAATTCGAGAATACTGTGGATTCTTTGACTAACTTTGTTTTCTTTCATTTGAAAAACCTGTAACGGCATGAAAAGTCTGTTGCCCACTTAACACTTCGTTAAGTAAACACTCGTCGAAACTCCTGTGCAGTCGGCATAGTTTCCTTAACCCTTTGCACTCGAAAGTTTTTCACTGGAAATATTCAACATTTTCCGACAAGATATAGACAACATTGTTTGAAACTAATCTAACGATAATTCATAGATAAATTAAGCAACCAAGCTATTTTATTTAAATGTTTCACACAGCAATACAAGGTTTAATTCAAAGTACTAAATATTCAACATAGTTTCCCTGCATGAAATCCAGCGGTGACAGAGTCACCTCTCGAGTGCAAAGGGTTAATAAAGCAGAAACTAGAAAATGAAGATTCCTCGTGACGATTACTTTCGTATCTTTCTTATATCTCATGCGTTCGATGAAACTCCGGTACGTCACCAAGAATATGAATGTCTATGCTTCTGTTAGACATGGAATACCCGAATTCAGGTGACGTGCAATCAAAGCGTTCAAAGAAATAGACCAGGACTGCATGCAGTCTATTTTCCAGGTTCTCAGGTACAAACAGTTACAGGCCTATGGGTCCTACGTCATCTGGTCTATTCTATTATTTCAATTAACCTGTTAACTGTAGAATTCAGCCTCGAAAATCTCTTATTTCGGGTGCATCAGAATGAAAAAGTGAGTACTAGTCAAACGCAGAACGAACGCGTCTGGGGTATATTCGAATGGAAAACCAAAGCAAGACAAAGAAGAATCATAGTTTATCAGGAAAAATGAAGAATTCATCATTGGGAGAATTAGTATCGTTTCAAGCTTTAAGATGACGCGTATACTCGTCATAGAACTCGAAACGATTAATCTATCCAACGATGAATTAGTTATTTCTTCAGATACACATGTAATTCCTCTTCGTTCTGCTTCAATTCTTCAGTAGAGTATATTATAGGCACGTTTGCACTGCATTTGATGAGTATATACTCCATTGCTTGTCTTCATTGCGTTCGATGAGAGAATTCTCGAACGAAATTCCACAGTTAACCCCTTGCCCTACGATTTATTTCTCAACTATGATCGACACGACTTCGCCGTTAATAATTTATGAAAAGAGAGACAAATTTCAGGTATATTCTACGCCTATGTTCGCTTTAAATTACAATAATCGATAACAAAAGGATAATATTTAATTTGCATTCACAATAATCGACTAACATTTATATTTGTTAAGTTCTGTTTAAAACCTTCGCCACGAGTCTCACGCGTTATTATAAGGGGTAAACTGGTTAACCCTTTGCGGACGAATGTCGACGTTTCGCCAGATCAAACTTTCATATTTCGAATACCGAGTTGCGAACAAATGATTCAACAACTGAAACAACAAGGGATCAGTGCATAGTTTCCTTTTTCTCTATTGTTTAACCAGTTAACTGTGTTTGACGAGTATACACGTCATCTTAAAATTCTTAATGGTGCTAACTCTTTCAACGATGGATTATTTATTTTTTGAGACAAACATGTAATTCCTCTTCGTTTCGCTTTAGTTTTTCGTTAGGATATATCTTAAGTGCATTTGGCCTGCATATAATGAGTATACACTTCATTATTTAATTTTATTGCGCGCACAATGAGAGATTTTTCAAACTAAATTCCACACTTAACTGGTTAAGCATGCGAGACATAACTTGGCCTAATCTGCCGAAGGTTTTTTGTACTTCGAAGAATCTTCGTCCGCAAAGGGTTAAAGACAGTGTCTCTCACGCATAAATTCTCGTTCGCTAACCAGGCGACGCATCATTAGTAACAATCCAACATTCGCGATTGCGTGACGGGTGTGCCCAATCGAAAGATCCGTCCACCGAGAGATTAATCGCGAGCGTGACCGTCCGAGCGATCTGGTCGCCGGATCGTGGCGGGGTGGTCGGAAAAAGGGGATCAGCCCTTGGCGAAAAAGTGATCGGGACAGGGCCAGACGGATCGGTAACGCGTTTCTCCTTTCATTTTCAGCCGGCGCGGTAGTGATCGTGGCCTCGAAGCGAGTCCTTTTACGGCGG